GAAGAGAAGAAGAAAGAGAAGAGAAGAGAAGAGAAGAGAAGAAGAGAAGAGAAGAGAAGAGAAGAGAAGAGAAAGAAAGAAGAGAAAGAAGAGAAGAGAAGAGAAGAGAAGAGAAAAGAGAAGAGAAGAGAAGAGAAGAGAAGAGAAGAGAAGAGAAGAGAAGAGAAGAGAAGAGAAGAGAAGAGAAGAGAAGAGAAGAGAAAGGAAAGAAGAGAGAAAGAGAAGAGAAGAAAGAAAGAAGAGAAGAGAAGAAAGAGAAGAGAAGAGAAGAGAAGAGAAGAGAAGAGAAGAAAAGAAGAGAAGAGAAGAGAAGAAAGAAAGAGAAGAAAGAAAGAGAAGAGAAAGAAGAGAAGAGAAAGAAATAAGATAAGAGAAGAGAAGAAAAGAGAAAGATAATAAAGAGAATAGAAGAGAAGAGAAGATAAGAAAAGAAAGAATAAAGAGAAGAGAAGATAAGATAAGAAGAAAGAAATAATATAAGATAAGATAATATAATAGAAATAAAGAAATAATATAATAATATAATATAATAAATATAATATAGAAATAAATAAGATAATAGAATATAATATAAATAGAAAAATATAATATAATATAATATAATATAATAGAATATAATATAATATAATTCAGAGATATATAATATAATATAATATAATAAATATAATAATATAATATAATATAATATAATATAATATAATATAATATAATATAAGATAATAATATACTATAATATAATATACATTGTATATCAATATTTGGTAATGAGTTATGTGCGTTTAACTGATTTTCGGGAGGGAACCTTGCATGGCAGCTATGACCAAATATGAACCGATCGTGAAAAAAATGTTAAAATAATATTTCTGTGTACAAAATTAGTATTTATGACAAAATTTTTTATGGATATCACTATTTGGTTATGAGTTTTGTGCCTTTAAGTGTTTTTCTGAAGGGGACCTTGTACGGGAGCTGTGACCAATTATGGACCAATCGGAAAAAAATTTCACATTAACAATTTTGTATATAAGAGCAATGCTAGTACCGAATTTTATATGGATATCTTAATTAAGTAATGAGTTGTGTGCGTTTAAGTGATTTTCGGGAGAGGACGTTGTATGGGAGCTATGTTCAATTAGGGACCGATCTAGAAAATTTTTTCTCTATATGAATTCTGTTGATATAGTATTTTAATTTGTAAAATTTTGTTAAGAAATCAACGTTCTGAGGGAAGTTATTAACAATAAACTCATTTTCCGGGAATATGTACTTTCGTATGGGAGGTATAAGAAATTGTGGACCGATTCCGGCAATTTTCAACAGGAATAAAGCTCTCGTGTAGAAACAAATGTATGATGATTTTCATGGAATTATATTGCATAGTTTTAGTGAAAATTACATCAGAATGTGTAAAAAATGCTTATTTTTTCGGAGTTGTTTTAAATTGCGATTAATAAGTTTTCCCGAGGTAAACCGATTTTACTCATTTTCAATACCAAACTGCCTAGGACTTCGGTTTTACGTGAGCGTGTTTTACACAGACAGACGGACGGACAGACGGAAATAGATAACACTATGCGACAAAAATAAATACCAGGAAGTGACACTATTTTTCTGAAAGGTGGATCCGAGTAGAACAAGAATATGTTTTTGAAATTTGCCAAACACCTCCAAAATCTTGAGTTACGGGTAAAAACCCGGTTTTTCGTACCTTTAAGCACTTATAAGTCAGTAACTTAGTTGAGTCTGAACCGATTTCAAATTTATTCACGGATTTAGAAAGTAGCTGCAGAGGCCTTTATAATGACATATATAACGTTTAAATAACCTGGGGAGATATGTGTGAATTTCATCAGAAAACATATTTTTATACCCTACACCACTTTAGTGGGGAGGGTATATTGGATTTGTGCTGATGTTTGTAACATACAAAAATATTCGTCCTAGACCCACCTTAAAGTATACCAATCGGCTTAGAATCGTTTTCTGAGTCGATTAAGCTATGTCCGTCCGTCTGGCTGGCTGGCTGGCTGTCCATGTAAACCTTGTGCGCAAGGTACAGGTCGCAATTTTCAAGATAATTGGATGAAATTTGGCATGCACGTTTTATTTATCCCAAGGACGAAGCCTATTGAAAATGGTTAAAATCGGTCCATTATTTCACCTAGCCCCCATAGAACAGAACCCCCCGAAAAGGGCTTCTGAGCTCATAATTATGTTAAATATACAGATATATCGATAAAATACGGCACAACTAAGTTTTATAGAAGTCTTGATGACCCTGCCAAATTTCATAAAGATCGGGCCCCATTTGACCCTAGCTCCCATACAAAGTCCCCTTCAGAAAATTACTGAATGTCCCAAATTAACTTATAAACACAAATATCGCGATGAAATTCAGCACAATAAAATATTATGTAAATATAAATATATTCACAAAATTTTATCGGGCTTGGTCCATATTTGCCCCTAGCCCCCATATAAAGCCTCTTTCAGAAAATTAGTTTTTCATCCATAAATTGCTTAAATGTATCGGAACAAGGGAATATTGAAAATAAATGCTTTACTATGAAAAATAAATCACATTTAATATTCATAACTGGTGTAGGGTATCATATGGTCGGCCTCGCCCGACTATACTTTCTTACTTGTTTATTTTAGTTTTGCACCGTTGTCCAAGTTTGGAGATGTGTTTGAAAGTATTTTATGTAGGAATCGTACTATTTATTAACTGATTAGAAACCCATGTTTATTCATGAGTAAAACGCAATTTTGTTTTTAAAAATCCGTTAGCAATTGACAATGTTATTGATTTTTTCTTAATACAAAATTTTTTCAAAACTGATTTTCCGAAAGATGCTTTATATAGGGGATAGGGCTAAATAAGGTCCGATCCTCCTACAATTTGGAGGAAGGATTTAGATTTATATAAAAGTTATTTAAGCTGAATTTCATCATGATATTGATGTAATTAAGAGAATTATGGAATTAAAGTCGCTTTCTTAAGGAGAATTAGTCCCCATTAAGGTCAAATAAGGTCCAAACAATACAAAAATCGGTATAAATGAGTTTGCTGTAATCTTTAGTGATACTACTGATTCTTTAGACAATACGGTCTTATTTGACCCTAGTCCCCACACAAACCCTCCTTCAGAAAATGACTTCAATTCCATAATTCTCCTCTTAATATTAATATCACGATGAAATTCAGCATAAATAACTTTTATATAAAAATAAATCCTTCCACCAAATTTTTCGAGGATCGGTCCATATTTAACCCTATCCCTCATTTAAAGCATCCTTCAGAAAATAAGTTTATGAACAATTTTGTATTAAGAAAAAGATCAGTAACGTGGCCAATTGCTAACGGATTTTTAAAAACAAAGTTGCGTTTTTCTCATAAATAGACAGAGTTTTCTAATCAATTAATAAATAGTGCGGTTCATACATAAAATACTTTCAAAAAACATCTCCAAACTTGTACAACGGTGCAAAAGTTAAATAAAAAATATGTTTGCTGATGAAATTCACACATATCTCTCCAGGTTACTGAAACGTTATACATGTCATTATAAAGGCCTCTGCTGCTACTTTCTAAATCCGTGGATAAATTTGAAATCGGTTCAGACTCAACTTAGCTTCTGCTTTCTATATCCGTGGAGAAACTTAAAATCGGTCCAGATTTAACTAAGTTACTGACTTATAAGTGCCTAAAGGTACGAAAAACCGGTTTTTTTTACCCGTAATTCAAGATTTTGGAGGTGTTTGGCAAATTTCAAATTTCATAAGGACCAAGAATATATATACTTTGTTGGGTTCCAGATGAATATTTCTTGGTTGTACACACGGAATGACAAAGTTATATATACCCTCTATCACCACTGATGGTGGTGCAGGGTATAAAAATCCTAAAATGTGATAAAAAAAAAGTGCCAAAAACATTTGAAAAATGCTAAAAAAGGTGCTAGATTACATTTTCGGGTGCTAAATGAGTTTAAAAAGTGCTAAATCTTGCACCAAAAGTGCTAAATTTGCAACACGGGTTATAAGATAAATTTTGATATCTATTTCAAAAAAAGTCAATACAGAAAAATATTCTCTTTACTTTTTGAACGCCGGGTACAAGCAGCTAGTAATTAAATAACAATTTATTTCTTGTATTTTATTTGATATTATCAATATACTGTTTATCTATTCAATAGAATAACGACTGAAATGGCAGATGAAAAGAAGTTCCAACAAACCCGGCAAAATTTGAGACGACGTCTATTAGAAGAAAGAGGGCTCCAAAGACGAGCAATTTTATTACCAACCTTACCGGACCAACCCTCTACCTCTCGAAACTCACCCTATATACAACTCGCACAGAGAGTCCTCCGATGCCTAATACCACCAAACATTGATGCACAAAATGTTGTCCCTCAACCATCCACTCAGACTCATCAGTCGACTATAAACACAATCCACGAAGACAACAATTATTATTTACCTAGACGTCCATCAGCGCAACAGTGGCCATAGTTAGCCCTATAAGAAATGTACCCAGTCATAGATTGTCCCTATCAAGTGGCAGCTCAGTAAGGGAAATTGAGGTCGACATCGAAGATTTGCCGGTTACGGAAGATGGAGAAACCTTACCCCCTATAGAACTTTCTAAGTCTAGTGAAAGTACCGCAGTAAATTTAATAGACAACATACCAACATCACCAAGAACTCCCTATGAACCACTAATTGCAGACATTTGCAGTGAATCCGGAGAAAATTATCAAAATTTTAATGCTGAAGTAGAACCCACACCGAATTCACAAAATCTTCATAATATACGAAGCGATGTCCTTGTCTTTTCCCTGAATCCGAACAATATAGTCCGTATCGGAACAAAGGCCTCGAGAACAGTATGGATTATCCGTCAGCACCAACCACACCTCCGCAGATAATGTTGTCATCAACATTTAGTTAGTCAACAGTTCCAGGAGGAACATCGCCTCAGGAAAGACAGCTGAATGGAGTTTCCTGAAACAGATCAACCTGAAAATTCATCTAGAAGTCAAACTACAAGTGAAGATAGACCGAGAACTCCAGCCATACCCGAGTTCTCGGAAAACACCTCCTCTAAAAATATAAGTTATCCTGGAACATTTTATCCACCAACAATCACTTCCACTCCACCAACAATCCCCAATCATTTTAGGGAATTGTTTACCGAAAGTTCGAAGTTGATCACACGTCGAATCAGTATTCGAAGCACTGCCAGATCGTTCGAAACACTGTCTATCTCCGAAAATGTTAACAAGGAGTCATCATCATTGTCATCGGTATCAACTCTTTCGTCTTCGTCGACCTCATCATCGTCTTCTTCGATATCATCAACAACATCTATACAATTACAAACACCGACACCAGATGTTATCCTAATAGAAGAGCCAGTACAGGTCACCACCAACAACAATCCTGATACATCTGAAGAAGCATCCATTAAAAGCCAAATGGTAGCAAATTGTGTAAAATCCCAAAATCAGGAATTGAACTACGGAGGCAATGCTGCTTGTTCATCCACAACTGTTAATTGGACCCACATAAACATCACGGCAAATATTATTCCTCAGTCTGTGGTAGCCGAACTGATGCCACGAATCAACGAAGCCACCAGTAGAGTATCCTATAGAACAAGTATCCTGTTTACCCTGGAGGATCGAAGTATATATCAGGTGCAATTTCGCCCTCCAAACCGAATAATCATAAAATTTGTCAACCGACGAGAGCAGGACGTGTGAGGACGCAAAGTCACTCGTTTGTTTTGCCCACACATAATAACTACGTAATTTTAACTTTTATTACTTCTATTTTATTAAACAAAATGAATTTAAATAAAACTTTGTTAGTGTTTCGTTAATTGTGTGTATTGTCCGTTAATTTAAATTGTTTTATTACGCCATCTATGTGTGTCATACTTTTAAACCACAATTCTATTAAGAGGTTTGTATTAAACTGCAATGTATGTCAACTGTGCATATATCTATGTATGTGTGTGTCTGTGTCCATGATCTGTGTGTATAAAAGGCAGACACAAACCTACTACAAAGATCAGTATCCCTTTTTATACCGTCCGTCCGTCTGTCTGTCTGTCTGTCTGTCTGTTTGTCTGTCTGTATAAAACACGCTTACGTTAAAACGAAGCAACGGAACTTTATGAAATTCACCCAAAATATTCATTGATATCCTAAGTAATTTGGTATTGAAAATCAGCAAGATCGGTGAAATAGGTTCAGAGTTATGAGTAAAAATTTGAGACAACCTCAAAAAAATTGTGCTTTTTCACATATTTATTTGTATTTTTTACAAAAACTACTGCAACAATCGGGAAAATCGGTTCACAATTACATATACCTCCCATACAAATTTACATATTCCCCGAAATTAATTTATTTTTAATAACTTACGAAATAATGCCGATAGCTTTACGAAATTTTACAAATTTAAATTCTTTGCCTATAGAATTCATATAAAGAAAAATTTTCTGAATCGGTCCATAATTGGTCATAGCTCCCATATAAGGTTACCTTCAGAAAAACTTTTAAACGCACATAATTCATTATCAAATAACGATATTCATACAAACTTTGGCATAAATATTGCTTTTATCTACAGAAATCCTACTGTACATTTTTTCACGATCGGTCCACAATTGGTCATAGCTCCCATACAAGGTCTCCTTCTCAAAATTACTTAAACACATATCTCTCATTACTAAATAAAGGTATCCATACAAAATGTAGCATAAACATTGCTTTTATATACAGAAATGATACTGTAAAATTTGTTTACGATCGGTCCGTAATAGGTCGTAGCTCCCATACAAGGTCTCCTTTCGATAATCACTTAAACGCATAAAACTCTTTACGAAATAAAGATATCCATAGAAAATTGGCACAAATATTGCTTTTATCTACAGAAATCTTACTATAATTTTTTTTACGGTCGATCCATAATTGGTCAATGCTCCCATTTAAGGTCCCCTTTCGAGAATGATCAAATTAAATGTGCACATTGAGAAAGTGTAACTGATAATTTCTTATGCTATTCAGCAGCATCAGTGTTGATAAAAGTTATTCAGCAGCAATGTTCTGAACATTGCAAGTTCGATTCCTGGTCGATTTATCTTTTTTTGTCATAAATAATTAATTTTTTTTAATCAAATTAAGTGTCGAAATTCGGTTCAACAATAAAAATTTAAAAACAATTTTTTTCATAGGATCAACAACGTTGAAAATCTATTGTACCTCCCGTACAACATTATATTAGTTTTAAAACTACCCAGCAGTTCGTTCGGACAGTCCCGAACTCTATATTTAACCTACCACATAGGGTTACACCTAGCCACCAACTGTTCAGGTGACTAGCTATTTTAACATGTGCTTATCCTACAAGGAAGACAATCGTCACCCCATAGATTAGGAAGAGGCAGACATGTGATTTTTAAGTGTCCCCTCTCTCGCTTATAAAGGGGACACTAAAGTGACGATTATCTTCACCTTCGTTTACAAAGAGTACATCCGTGACGAAAGACGAATTAGCGCCAGCCAGCTGGTTAGATGTTTGTGGAAATTACTGTCTTTTTCGGATCCATTGACTCTTTGTAGAACTGCAGGGTATTACCATACATTTCTCTCACACATAGAAATTATTTTAAATACAGAACATAGGTTAAATTTAGTATGCTCTGTATAAGTCTGTAAAGTGGTAGTTTTGTTTTTAATTGCATATTGCAAGGCGTAATGAAAGTAAGTCTAAAATATTAAGGTAAATTTGAATCTGTAAAGAAAGTATTTCTTTATTATTTTTTTATTAAATTATTAATTAATTAATTTTTTATTTCTTCAATTCAAAAATGGAAAATTCTGAATGATCTTTTTTACAAAACAATCATGATATTTTTTAAAGTTGTGAATAGTTGATCAAAGTTATAATATTTTAAAGAAGTAATTTGTGTAGTACAATATGTACGTCGCCACATCAATCCCCGCTCCAATGATTTCGTTAAAACTAACCGTGATCTATATAAGCTGGTTTAATTCGCTCTATCGAAATGGTATCCTCCTTATTTCCCATTTTTTATCGTAAAGTATTTTGGTTTTTTATTAATGACTTTATAAGGTCCACTATATTTATACGATAACGGTTTTGTAGTTCTATCATTTCTCACCCATACATGTGAGCATGTTTCTGAATCTTTAAATTTAAATGGTTTAACAATTGGAACTAGGTATAGGTCTTAAATTACTTATCACATGTTTTAGTTTTGAAAGAAATTCATTTTTAAAATCATTTTCCAAAGAAGAACAGAAAAAATCCCCAGGAATTTTTATATTTTCTCCATAAAGGTATTCTGCAGGTGTTCCTTGTAGATCTTCTTTAAATGATGCTCTCATTCCTAATAGTACAGAAGGTAACGTTTTTGTCCATGATGGGTGATTTTTACACGTTAAACCAGTTTTTAAAGTTCTATGCATCCTTTCGACCATGCCGTTAGATTTTGGGTGATACGCTGTTGTGGTTACATGTTTAATTCCAAAATATTCTGCCATTTCTTTGAACATTGAAGATGTAAATTGTACTCCACGATCGGAGATAACTTTCGATGGACAACCATATCTAGAAATCCATCAATTATAAAATGTTTCTATTATTGTTTCCGTAAGTATGTTTTCAATCGGAAATGCTTCTGGCCATCGAGAGAATCTATCAATACATGTTAATATGTATTGTTTACCCTGACTAGGTGGTAAAGGTCCAACAATATCAATATGAACTTCTTCAAATCTTTTCTGAGGAATTGGAATGTTTGAAACACTTGTTTTTACATGGCGATTTATTTTCGATTTTTGACAATGTTCACAATTTTTAGCCCACAAGGAAACGTCTTTATTAATAGATGGCCAAATATATCTTTCAGTTAACATTCGTTTTGTTGCTCGGATACCTGGATGATGTAAATTATGAATGTTTTCGAAGACTTCTCGTCTCATAGTTTTTGGTATAAACGGTCTTGCATTCTTTGATGATATATCGCAATATATTTCGATAGAAGAATCCGGAATACTAATTTTTTCAAATTTAGTGATGACACATTAGAATTAGCTAGAATATTTATCAATTCCGGATCATCTAACTGAAGTTCGGATAAATTTTTCTTATTAATTTCGGCTATGACATGTTCTCTTGAAAGACAATCTGCTACGGTGTTTAACGTACCAGAAATATGTTGAATGTTTGTTCTAAATTGAGATATGTAGTCCAACTGACGAATTTGACGGGGTGAAGCTTTCTCTGATTTTTGCCGAAATGCGAATGTAAGCGGTTTATGATCCGTATATAAGGTGAATTGTCGACCTTCTAACATAAAACGAAAATGTTTTATTCCCGCAAATGCAGCCAATAACTCACGGTCATAAGTACTATAATTTTGTTCGGTTGTTGAAAGTTTTCGTGAGAAGAATGCCAAAGGTTTCCACATGTTATCATCTTTCTGTACCAAAACAGCCCCGATGCCAATATCTGATGCATCTACTTTAAGTGTTATTTCCGAATTTATATTTGGATAAACAAGTAGTGTAGCATTAGCGCAATCTTGTTTAATTTTTTCAAAATGCTTGAGTCCATTTAACTCGACGCTTATCTTTTTTCTTTGCGCCTTTAAGGTATTCATTTAATAATATTTGGTGAGTAGCAGCATGTGATAAAAAACGTCTGTAGAAATTTGTCATCGCTAAAAATCTTCGCAGTTGATCTATAGTTTGTGGTTTTTTAAAATTTCAATATAGCTTGTACTTTGTCTGACATAGGTTTTATCCCTTCGAATGTAAGATGAAAACCTAGAAAATCAATTTCGTTTACTCCAAATACGCATTTTGCTGGATTTATAATAATTCCACGATCGTTTAGTCTTTTAAAGACTTCTTTTAAGTGTTCCAAGTGCTCTTTTTTACTTTTAGATGAAATTAAAATATTGCCAATATAAACATAAACAAAGTCTAGACCACGTAATATGTCATCCATCCATCTCTGAAAACTTTGGGCCGAATTTCGATGACCAAATGGCATTCGTACATATTCATATAATCCAAATGGTGTTATAATTGCTGTTTTCTTTATATCCTCAGGAAACACTGGTATTTGATGGTAGGCTTTCACCAAATCCAGTTTTGAGAAGAATTTACAACCTGTTAAATTTGAAGTGCAGTCCGTTATAAAAGGAATTGGATATCTATCTGGTACCGTTACACTGTTTAAAGAACGGTAGTCACCGCAAGGCCTCCATTCATTATTGGCTTTTGGTACCATATACAGAGCACTGGACCAGTTACTTTTTGATGGTCTAATAATCCCATTTTCTAGTAGATAATTAAACTCTTTTCTTGCTATTTCTAAACGTTTGGGATTCAGTCTTCTAACTTTAAAGTTTATCGGAGGACCTTTCTTTCAATGTGATGGTAAACTTGTGGATCAGTCGTTACTTCTCGAATGCGATTAACAGAATATAATTGAGGAAATTCTAATAATAGTTT